GGTACCTAGTGAGACCCTGTCTCAAAAAATAAAAGTAAAAACAAAAACCTGCCAGTGAGACTGGAAAAGGGGTTTGTCCCCTAAGGAGAACATTGGGTTATGGCACCAGGTGGGTGAATGACCCCCTAGGTAAGAAGAGGTAGTCTTATCCAAAGGAAATCGGTGGTCAAAGAGGTCAATACTTATAATGCACCTTCAAGTCCTTTAAAAATATAACTAATAGGGCTGGGGTTGTGGCTCAGTGATAGAGCACTTGCCTAGCATGTCTGAGGTACTGGGTTCAATCTCAGCGCCACATAAAACAAATAAACAAAATAAAGGTATTGTGTCCATCTACAACTAAAAAAAATTGAAAAAAATATATATATATACACACACACAAAAAAAAATATATAGTTATTGTACTAGTTTTAAATCCCTACAGGCTTCCAATAGGCAATATGCTATGAACTCCTTTGGTATAGCTAGTACTTACTTGAGAATAGTAAAATTGAATATTTAAGCCAGTCTACAATCTATGTTTCCAGTAATTCAAACTGGCCTTGTCTCCTTCTTGCGCCCTCTAGTGGGCATTTGACTGATCTGACCAATGTCATCAAGGCTGGCTGGAAGGGCAAGGCAGTACCAGTTTTGACTGGAGTCTACCTTCCGCAAGATGGAAATGGAGCAAAGTTTGGCTCCTGTGGATCCATGTTCTGATATGATCAAAACTCCTTTGACTTGAACCTCTTTCACTACCATCCTCCAACTCATTACTAAAACCTGTTCTTAGGAAAGGTTATTATCAGACATTTACATGGGTGTATGAATAAGCACCAAATCAATAGTTTAATCTTTGGACTATTCTTATTTTAAATGGAACACAAGGCTCTGTCCTGCCCACCTCACTAGCCTAAAAGGTACTTCTGGAGAAAGAGAAGTTGGGAACTCCCTGAAATCAAGCAACAACTTTTGCTAAACACTCACACATCCCACTGCCTTACCAATGCATTTTTATCTTCACATCTAACTTCAATCTCCTTTTGCCAATATTCAGCCATGACTCTGCTATTGCAAGGAAATTTATTTCATCCTTTTGTCCATTTATTCATTCAACAAACTTTCTTGGGCCCCCACCATATATGAGGTACACGGGTATACAAAGCTGACCTAGAAATTTGCAGTTGAATTTCAACGCAGGAAACATCAACTTCACTACCAGATTTTTAACAAGCAAAGCACAGTCCAGTGACAGGTATAAAGTGTTCAGTAAATGCCGCTTCCCCTCCAGTATACTATACAGACACTGTAGCAGAACACTGGAAATTTTCGAAAAACCCGTTCCAGGCGGACAAGGGCGCCAGAAAAGTGGGTGGGGACGGTGGTTTCTATCTTGCTTCAGAATGTTGGGATTTGTTTTGGATGTTCCAAATGTCAGGTTGGAGATGCATGCAAAGGAGAGGGGCTTATTCTAACCAGATCAGAGGTAGAGGCAGCCCAGGACACTGTCTCCATGGTGCAAAACCTCAGACAGTTTGGAAACAAACAAACCCATCCAGAGGGGGGAGACCGACAAAGGCAAAAACAAACAAAGACCAAGAAATGGAAAACTCAGGAGGTGGGGCAAGAAGAGAGGAGAGGAGTGGGGAGAGAAGTGCGGGGTGCAGTGGAGGGGCTTAAGGAGGGGCCTGGTCCTCAATCCAGCCCTGGGGCCTAAGAATCTCCATGGCAACAGGAAGGGTGAATGCGGAGGACTCCATGCCAACATAAACCTCCTGCGCTTGGCGGATAGGCTCAGATGGGATGGAACCATGTTCTAAAGAAAAATATCTGAATCGGGCTCTTTAAATCGCAAACTCCCCACCTTCTCCTGGCTTTGTAGGCAATCAATATTTAATGAAATGAATTAATCAGAAACAACATTGAATCATATCCCCTAAGCCATCTCTCTCCCATCTACATATGTATGCTGATCCAAAACACCACAGTGAGACCCTTTCCTTTTGTAGTGGAAACTAACAGTTCACAGGATCCCTGAGCCTGACCTATAAGAGGCCCCCTAGCCACTTCTCCCAAAGCTATACCACCTGACAATGGCTTTAGTGACAGAGGGTTGAAGGAGTTGGTTTTCACAAAACCAAGGAAGCTGGGGCCCCAAAATGATGTGGCTCCAATTGCACTACCATCTGGTATCCCTGCCACCAGCTGACTGGTGAAGCTGCTGACCCCTCCACAGAGAGGGGAAGAGGTGCCTGCCACACAAGCCTAGGCTCCCAAATCCCAGCACCTCAAATTTGCCATTTCCTAGAATTGCTTGGCCTTGGATCTGTCTTCAATTTAAGGTAGAGCTGAGTGTCTCATTTAGGGTTTGTCTCTCTCCTACCTACCCATTCCCAGGTGCCCAAGGTCTCACACAATTCCCCATTACATTGTCTAGGACCAACTCATCCAGCAGACAAGGTATGCACTGTGCCTAAGGCCCACGTTACAAAAATGTTTTAATTTCTTTTAAGATCAGAAGGAAAGCTTTCTGCATTTACAAATGAAAGAAATTGTACAATGTAATTTTAAAACACTTTTTTTAAAATTTTAAGTTGTAGATAGACACATATCTTTATTTTATTTATTTATTTATTTTTAATGTGGTGCTAAGGCTCAAACCCAGGGCCTCATGAGGGTAAGGCAAGCACTCTACCACTGAGCCACAACCCCAGCCCTTTAAATACTTTTTGAAAGAGGAAGTAGAAAACAAAAGGCAAAAGTGCCCAGGGCCCACAGAAGTCATAAAGCAGCTCTGCCTTAGCATTCCTTCCTGCTCACTCCAACCCTCTGGACTCTAGGAATTCTATCCCCCACATCAAAATACACCTATCTGAAGACATAGAGCTTCTGGAGGGTAAGATCACTTTTTATTTATCTTCATGTCCCCATAATCACATCAGGTATGGCATTAGCATCTTTTCAATCTTTTTTTTTTTTTTTTTTTT